GAGCTTAGTTATAGTGTATACTTATCCCCTCGACAAGATCACCATTTTGATGTAATTTTCTTGATTTTCAGACAATATTGAGGAGAATATAAATTACATACCTGGAGTTTCTTTGATAAATACAAGGGACTTTATGCCATACCTTAAAGAATCTTCCCTAGATTTGATGCAGCAAAAGATTGGGATGAAAACATTTGATGACCAAGTGAAGAAAGCGGATTTTATTTTACTGAACACCGTTCAAGAACTAGAATCTGAGACAATATCAGCTCTACAGCAAAAGCAGCCAACTTATGCAATTGGCCCGGTAAATTTTTCACCTGATTCCAACAAGCCAGCCACTTCTCAGAATTTATGGCCTCAAACTGACACTAAAACGTGGCTGGAGTCGAAGCCTCCCAGCTCAGTTTTGTACCTGTCATTCGGCAGCTTTGATCTGACTAGTAAGCAGACAATCCAAGAAATAGCTCATGGACTTCTCCTTAGCAAAGTTAGTTTTATTTGGGTGGTTAAAAGGGATATTGGGAGCTTTAATGGTACTGATGATTTGCCCCTTGGATTCGTGGACGAAATCAGAGATCAAGGGTTGATTGTTCAATGGTGCAATCAACATATGGTACTTTCGCATCCAGCTATTGGAGGATTCTTGACGCATTGTGTATGGAATTCAATATTGGAAAGCATATGGTGTGGTATACCTATGATTTGCCATCCATTAGCAAGTGATCAACCCACTAATAGGAAATTAGTTGTTGACGATTGGAAGATTGGAATTAATCTTTGTGACGGAGAATCAGTTACCAGGGAAGAAGTTGCAAAGAAAATTGACAACTTGATGAGTGGAACAGTATTGGATGGATTAAGGATGGAGATCAAGAAAGTAAGAACCATACTGCAGAATGCTTTGGCAATAGATGGATCATCAGAGAAAAATATTGATCAATTCATTAAAGATTTGAAGGCAAAAATTCATGATAAAAGCCAGAATATGACAAGAAGTTAGGCATGCTAAGGTTTGTTTAGTTCAGGACAGGGCAGTCACTTGTCATTAGTCCTGGAAAATATTACATGTTTGAAATAATACAACACCAAAAGCAACATGCGATCATGTACACTCTTTTTCTTTTTCTAATTCTTTTTCTTTTAATTTTTTTACTTTATTTTAAATAATAATGCTATTTGCAGTCACTCACTACGACATCTGCCATACATGACATGTAATTATTTGATGCATGAGACAATAAAAAACTATCACTTTAATGCATCAAATAATTACTTGCTATATGTATGACACGTAGGGTAACTATGTAGTGAGCGATTACAAATATCATTACTCTATTTTAAAAGAGAAGAAATACTGAAATGGATTAGGGTTGATGAAAGTACCCACAAAAAAGAGAACTAGAACGTGCTCCATTGCTGAAATAAATAAAACTTGAACACAACTTGCAGGTGCACTTCTTCTTCTTCTGTTTATATTTTAGGCAGTTTCAAAGAAATATAGAAATGAAATATGATTGATGAAACCAGGGAGCCAGACTTTTTGTATTGTAAGGTCAAAAATTAAAATGCAATGCTTACGTTACTAGACAGCAAGTAAACTGCAATACTCGGGTTTCCACCTGTAATGTTCAAATGGTACAAGATTCCATACTAAAAAAGAAGAAACAAAGATCTAAAATAATCTCCGGCAATTTGCCCCATATATATAACAGTTGTTCTCAAGTGGTCCTGTTCCTCGTACAGCCACGTTTCCCAACTCTGGTTTGCTTTTACTAAAAGTCCCCTGTAACATATCCAGCTCATGAAGTCATCAAAGTCATACACAGCTTTCAGCCAGTCCAAGCCAGAAGGGTTGAACAAAAAGGGTGACATAATCCATGACTGCACAAGGAACCAACTTGAGATGGTTATGGCAATGTAAACAAAGGTATTTGTAGACAAGGTACTTTGAGAAGCACAAACATTTAAAACACTTCCAAGTTCAATGGCCTTCATGGCTGCACTCATATAACTTATAATTTTCAGCAAAGCTCTTGCAAAACCACGACCAGTAGCTTGATACTTCGCACCCCATGAAGAATAGTTCGGCCAAAGAAATGCAAACGAGTTCCGATTGAGAAATTGTAGAAAAAGTAAGCAAGCTGGAACTGCATTGTAATAAAATCCCAAACAGCTGGAAGAACCAATGTTGCAGTGAGTTCTCCAGAGTCATTGGGAGGGCTGTGAAAACACCAATTTGGACGAGAAAAATGCTGATTTATGACTGCACCAAGGGCTTCATTGTTGGTGGAATTGGTTCTGTTTTGAATTTTTTCCTCTACTCCACCGAGGGCAAGTTAGAAACGTCCCCACAGAAATACGTAGACCAGGATCACAACCATGAGCCAAAAAAAAAAAAAAAAAAATTCAAAATCAAAATCAAAATTTTTTGTGGGGTCACTTGACTCTACGTGGGTCCATTTACGGATAAAACTACCCACAAAAAAGAGTCCTACCTTAGGATACGCTCCATGATCGAAACGAATAAAACAGACATTAAAGTAGTTTTAAATGAAATCTCAAAATTGATTATGGTAGAGAAAAGTATGTGCAAAAGAGTCCTACAACATGTTATATGATCGAAACAAATAAAAATGAAGTAGCACATGACTTGCACGTACACTTTTCTTCTTTATTTTTAATCTGGTTTTAAGTTATGACGAAAATATCGAACCAAATTCGGGTCAACGAAATTATATATATATCTTGCACGTACACTTTTCTTCTTTATTTTTAATATGGTTTTAAGTTATGACGAAAATATCGAACCAAATTCGGGTCAACGAAATTATATATATATATACATACAAGAATTTAGCACATGACTTGCACTTAAACTTTTTATCTTTTATTTTTTAGCTAGTTTTAAAAGATACACCAAAATTTATTAGAGTCGACAAAAGTACCACAAGAAAGAGCCTCACAACATGTACGACTATCAAAATAGATACACGCGAAGTAGCACATGACTAACGTGCGCTTTTTTTTCTTTTTCTTATAGTTTTAGCTCATTTCAAATATAATACCGACGTACCCAAAAAAAAAAAAAATCTTATCGAGTTTAGAAGGCCCTGTGTGCCTATAATCTCATGAAGAGTTATGTTAATAAGCGCCAATAGTATTAGTTTAGGTGACAACATATGCACAATAAGGGATAACGTCAAAACTATCGCGTTTTTTTCTCTCAAAAACTTAACATATTTACAATTTATTTTTTTTTCAAAAATATCACTTTTCATCAAAAAGCAATATTTTACAATTTACTTCCTTTTGCAAATTTTTGGAATGCTATTTTTTTCATTTAAAATTAATTTTCAATTTCCCATTAAAAACAATATTTTTTATGGACGAACTTCACGTTCTACATTTGGCCAATATGATTCATGCATTTCATGATAATTACATTGTCATTTGCATTAATTTCCTGATTGTCTTCTCTTAAAATGATGCATTTGATCATCAAGACTTTAAAATCTTTACATGATGATAACCTTCGACTCTTCGATTTAGGTGGTGAATTTTATATTGAGCTATGATAGAAAGTTAGATTAACTAAATGTTGGAGACTGGCTTGGTAAGGAATGTAATATTTGAAAGGCCAAAAATTTGTATCAACGAAGGTTTAAGCTTTCCATTCGGCTAATCGAGGTCATCTTAAACCCTAGATAGGTAATTCACAGATTTGGGACATGAGGGATGAAGTGACATTATCACAACGTAATAATATATGTCTTATATGACATTATAAATATTGATGTGCGAATTGTTGAAATCGGTTGAGAATCGGGTAAGAAATTAAATGAACGGTTGAGGAATTAGTTTTATGAAATACTTTGGGATCTTAGGACAAGCGAAATGGATTGTAAACATGTCAAAATAAGCCGAGGATAATTGGTTTGTGCCTGCAAAGATAGATATAAAATCAGATTTTGCTACAAGTGACCACCTCATGCTTGAACACCTCGCGCTTGGGATATTTGTCATTTTAGCACTCAATTCCTTCAACCTTAAGCCTCCAACACGTCCTATAAGTCCTTGGAACTTTACACAAGATATTTATAACTCTTCTAAGTCACATATGGCTCCATGTGATGCAAGGGAGAAGTCAAAGTTGGCTGCAAGAAGCCACCTCCTACTTGGACAGCTCATGCTAGGGGATTTTCACTTTAATATATAACTGCTTCAACCCTAAGGCATAAATTTCGTGTCTAATCCCCAAGGACTTAATATAGGATGAATATATATCTTAAATATCATAAATGGACACAAAAATAATGGTAGAAAAGTCAAGTATTGCAGCCAAGATGACAGCTCCAGCTTAGTGACTCACCTTGATTGCTTGAGGTGGCTGCAGCCCATGATATCCTTAATCCTTAAGTAATATGCACGACTTCAACTATTTAAAGACCACTCATTTACCTCCTAGATAATATATTAACTCCCT